CAGTGGTATATTAACCATTAAGCAGACTAAGCACATGCTTAGAGCATCAGGCCCAAAGTGGGCACCACGAAGTTGAGAAAGAGGGAAAAGACAGATTTGTACAGTATGTATAGATGAGACCCATAGAAGTTTGAGAACACATCCAAGTCACAATGAGCCAAACATGAGACTTAAACATGAGGAGGCTTGAATAACAATCGGAGTTTAATCTTTGATCAAAGCTCAAAGACATAATGGTCAGTTGTTCCCAACATACCCCAAGGATATGCAGGAAGAACTACCCTTCAGAGAAAGTGTAGCTCCTTTTTATACAGTTAGAGGCATCATAAAACATCATGGCTTTACAATACTCCTCACTAGCCTTATCAGCATTATCTATTTCCTCTGTTCCCAGGATTGGCCATTTGACCCCCTATTGTGAAGGGCACAGATCAAAGGTGAGATGGTTCTTAAGCAGAAGGGGGACATACCAAAACTGTCAGTTTTACAGCTCCTTTCCGGGATAAGTTCTATGCCCATAGAGTGCAGATTGATGAGAGTTCAAATGGCAAGGATCTGACATTTGCCAGATACCTTACAAATACAAGACACAATATAGGTGTGTTAGAGAAAACAAATGTTTCTACTGAAACCTACAAGTTTGTATCCTTATTACTATTCCCCTTCATTATGTTCAAAAGGGGGGGGGGGCACCAAGATTTGTCAATGCTTAGGGCATCAAGGAGCCTTAATCCGCCACTGGCAGGGTGGCAATTTTTGTGGTGGCCCCAGTCCATGGGGATGCAGGCAGCAGCAGCAGGAGCAGCCTCAAGAATCCGTGGAGAGTCGAACCTTCTTTCTCTTAGCGGCGACATTTCACTTTAATTCTGCTTCTCTCCATGGAGAGACGTTTTCCCCCCTTCCTCTCTCTCGCTCTGTTCTCCAGCTGCAGCGGCTTTAAAGCGAGCAACCCGCTCACCGCCTCCTACAGGGATTTTCCCCCGCTCTCATTTCAAACCACACAAAAACACAAGCAAATACTCCCCGCGCCCGCCTTCCGCAGCCAGCTCCAAAATGCGGGGTTCGGAAGGCGGTTGCTAGGCAAAAGAAGAAGGCATAACAGGCGTCCTCTCAGAAACGTCGCCCTTCTTTTCCAAAATTCTGTTTTCTCAGAAACCGGGGAATGGAAGGTGTGTCTGGAAATCCGGCTCTCCTCCGCCATTAAGCGACGATGGCTCTCCCGCTTTCCCGCCGCCAATCTCCCCATGCCGTGCGCGACTTAAAGGGGTGCTTCTCTTCCCTCCCTTCTTCAGCCGAAAGGAGGGTGGGAGGAGGAAGGGGTGACCCTGCCCCCCCCACGTTGCGCTCCTTCGCGCCGCGCTGCTTTCCAAAGTTTTCGCGATTTGAAAAAAGCGAGCGGGCAAACGCATTTAAACACGTGTGCCCACCTTGCTCCAAGTTCAAGCCCCGTCGCCGCCAGTAATTTGCCACCCATCCCAATGCATACCGAATCCCCAAGTCAGCGCGAGAAATTTGCGCCCCTGCTGACCACCTTTTGGCTTCTCGCAATTCTGTCCGAAAGGTGGTTGCTCATCGCTCGTTTCACCAGGGTGTGTAAGCTGCAACTTTCTATCCCTCTGGCCTCAAAGGTTTTATACCGACAGCGTCCCTTTCTCTGCCACATTATTTGGGTTGGGTTTTTTTTTAAACTCTAGACCCCAAAATCCCCATTCACCAGGACTTGATGCGGGTAGGGATTCTACTCAGCTCCGCACTCGGGTTACGGCATGATGACCGCTGCCATTTGTGGGGCCCCGGCGGGCCAAATCCTGCCCTTTCTGAACCCCGCAGTATCTTGAGTCACGGCCCCTCCAGTTCGGGCGGGGACCCCCCTGAAAACTGCTCGCCGGCTCCGTGCTGCTGCAGCCGACCACGTGAGGGCGTCCAGTGTGTTAGTTACAACAAATTAACCCCGGGCTAGCGCTCCCCCCGAGGTTCGTCAGCGCCCCCCGACTGGACAGAGACCCGCGGGCCCCGCTTTCCTATCCGAGTCACGCGCTCCCCGAGAGCTGGGGCTCTTTCTAGGAGGCGCAGAGCCCTCCATATAGGGCGCCCCTATCCTCTGTCTTTCCCTAGTATAGGGTGCGCCTTTAAAATCGCCTCTGAAGAGCCTTTCCCGGGTCCAGAAAACTGTGGCACCCAGGCAGCTGGATCAGGTACCGTCGGGAGCAGCAGATGGCAACGGCATCTCGTCCCTGCGGCCCCGGACGCGTGCAAGAGAGCTCGGCGAAGGGGCCACAAAAAGCACAATTCAGAGCTTGCCTTCTCGCTCCCTGTTGTTGTTCTCAACATGGTCCGCTCCTGACGCATATAAAGAGCGGTGCCGAAGCCCGCCCAGGCAGATTGCTTTTCTCAGGCGGTGTTGAGCATAGCCGTGCTCGGTCGCTCTGATTGTTTCTCGTCTCTGCTGATCCGGCGCCCCGCTACCGAGAGCAGCCCCGCAGGGGAAAAAAGCTCCGAGAATCAAGCCGAGTTTGTCCCCAATACTTCTGGGCTGAAAGCCAGCGCGTTTTTTTCCAACATGTCTGTTGAACTGGAAGAAGCTGACCTGCCGCTGACCGAAGCAGAAGAGGCGCCTCTGGCTCCGGAAAAGAAAGGGGCGGCCAGGAAAGCCAAAGGTGTCGTGTCGGCACTGTCTCCATCCAAGAAGAAGAAAAACAATAAGAAAAAGAACCAGCCTGGCAAGTACAGTCAGCTAGTGGTGGAATCCATCCGCAAACTGGGCGAGCGTAATGGCTCCTCGCTGGCCAAAATCTACAACGAAGCCAAGAAAGTGGCTTGGTTCGACCAGCAAAACGGGCGGACCTACCTCAAATACTCCATCAAGGCGCTGGTGCAAAACGACACTTTGCTCCAAGTGAAAGGCACCGGCGCCAACGGCTCCTTCAAGCTCAACAGGAAAAAGCTGGAGGGGGGAAGCGAAGGAGGCGCCGGAGGAGGCGGTGGCGGCGGCGGCTCCCACGCCAAATCCCACAAGAAGGTGGTCGTCGTCGCATCCACTTCGCGAAAGGTCGAGAAGAAGCCCGTCGCCAAGACCAAGAAGCTGGAGAAGAAATCGCACAAGAAAGGCGCGGGCGGCGGGACCCCCAAGAAAGAGAAGGTGAAAGCGAAGAAAGCCCCCAAGAAGAGCGTGGCTTCCCCCAGCGCCAAGAAGGTGAAAAAATCGGCGAAGCCCAAGGCTCTCAAGAGCAGGAAATGAGACTGGCCGGCCTCCGACTTGGAGGGAAGAAGATGCCGCCTCCGTTGTCTTTCGCCCCGAGACGACACTTGACTTTTAGCTCACAAGCACAGAGCCATGTTTCCAGCTTTGATATTTTCTTAATTTTTTGTCTCTTTTTTTGGCCCTATTCCTGCGTCATTTCTTCCCTCGGAAGGGCGAGCCTGTGTAAAATAGCACTTCGCTTTCAACCACAGACCCGTCGAGATCATTGGGACATTTTGGATCGTTGGAAAGGGGTTGTTACCTTCAACCTCGCCCCCTTTTTCTTTTTTTATTGGAATATGGTTGCCATTGGAAGCTTGCTTTTTCTGCTTTTGTGTTCTGCAAAAGTAGCGTGATGTCGTTGTAAATACTTTCTTCTTCCTTCCCCCCCCCCACACCCCCATATCTGGGCGAGGTTCTGTCCCTCTTCATCAGCCCCCAATTTTACTGAAGTGGGAGGTGAGGGTCACCCTTGGTGGATTCTAAAGTTTGAACTACCAGCAGTCTCGGTCGCCCCCTCTTTAAAGGCTGGGATGCCATGGCAACAGCCTGTTGGATGCACCGGCGTCCGCCCAGTTCCTGGGCCTGAAGTGCTGGCGGCGCTTGCATGCGGGATTCGGGGGCGGGGGGAGCGGTCGCATGGGACCAAGTGACCAGCCGAGTAGCTGATTTTTACCTCGGAGACTTGCGCAATCACTGCAGGTTTGAAATACGTATCTGGGGGCGGGCGGGGGAGGGGAAAGTGCAGTTCACCCTCGCCTACAAGATTTTGTATCGTCCTTTTCAGGTTTCGTCTTCAAATGCCTTTTTTTTAAATACAAGATTGCCTCGTGTTTTTTGTTCTCAATAAATCGTTTTAAAACATTTTCTCACGTTCTGCTTCCTCGGTGTTTTTATATTCAGGATCCAAACGAGACAGTCGGTTTTATTTTTTGGGGGGTGGTGGGGTGGGAAGGTGGGATACCGGGGGGGTGGGGGCGTTGGAATCGTGAGATCCCAAAATCACTCCTGAGGAATTGGGGGGGGGGTGTCTCGAGGTGGATAGGATGGAGGGGCTCGGTGCAGATGTTTGGCACCTTCTCCCTATCAATGCAATTAAATGGGTGGGCGTGGCCGTTTGCGTCCCTTCTGCCTCGTCTAAGCTTTTAGCAAAGATGCGGCTCCCTTTCCAGTCTCCACCCCCACCCCGCTTTTCCCTTGCTAAATAATCTTAACATTCTGGGGTAGCCTTGTTGGGCGCAGCTGAGCCGCCTGAAGCCGAAGTAAAGGTAAAGCAGCCCACTGGGTAACTCCGAGGATTACACGCCCACCCCGAAGGGCATTTTGCAAAGCCACGCCCCCATTGGCGAGTTTTCTATTCCTAGCCTTCGGAGACCGAGTCATCTGGCGTTCTTTTACGCATGCGCAAGCGACGATGCCGATTGGGCCCTGGAGAGGAGCGATCCCTGAGCCGGAAGTGGCGTCGGATGGAAGGCTTCGGATTCGTAGATTCTGGATGAGAGCGGAGGGGGGAGAGAGTGAAGACTTCTGGCTGTGGAAATTTTGCCGTCCCGTTTTCACTCGCCGCGCTCTTTGGCCCCTCGTTGCTCGTTGAGTTCGCTTATTTTGGAAAGGCTTTAGACCAGTGTTTCTCAACCTTGGCAACTTGAAGATGTCCGGACTTCAACTCCCAGAATTCCCCAGCCAGCTGGCTGGGGAATTCTGGGAGTTGAAGTCCGGACATCTTCAAGTTGCCAAGGTTGAGAAACACTGCTTTAGACTGAGGCAGGAAAACACTTTTTGCCATCCCATCCCCTTTTTAGGGTAAGCTTAATGTATGCTTAAAAGATCCAAAGACCAAAATGAACAGAAACGGAACAATGAAAACAATGCAACGAAACTGGGAAAGCCGGATTTATTGTGATAATGTAACTAAAAGGTTTTCGTACCCAAGAGAGATACAACTCGGAGAAACCCTCCTAGAGGACCGTTTTTAGACTCATTGCTGGTCATAATTACTCACCCCTCCAATCTATCTGATCACTTTTTAGTGGCGTTTGTTGTCCGGGTGGTAGGAAAGGAAATTATAAATACTTTGTAGCAAAGTATTTATTTACTTTCTTTACCTCTCACATCTAAAGCCTGTTTCTAATTCAGTACCAACCACAACTAAAGTGCCTAGGATGAGGCATGCCTTTCACATCTAACAGATACTGGTAAAGGACATGTAATTCAACGACTTGCAACTCAGTGTCTCTTAAAGCATTTGATGAACCTGGAGGGGGATCTGGATATATAAAACTCAAAACTGTAATCTCAAAATTGATTTAAAAAAACAGACTGCACCTTTATAATACCAAGACTATTAGAACAGTGGGCTAGGCATTAGATCATTTTGGATGTGCTGGCCAAGACCCAGGACATTACATATCACCTTTGGGCAAAGCAGCAGTTTCTTAGAAAAGGATGGCTTTTACTTCCTGCCTTCATTCTGTAAAACTGGGGAGAAATGCTCAGTGTGAAGCAAGAAAACACAAAGGGTCAAGAAAACAATGACCTGCTGCAAACAGCTACGCAGGTCTTCCCAATTATCCTTGCTACAATGCCCTGTACTGAAACGCCACACCTGCTTTAAGAAATGAGTAGGTTAACTAGTTTAGTCAAGGTGATTATCTTTGCGGGAAGGGTTGGTGTGGAATTATACTATTTCCCTTTCTCAATAAGCTGCTTATTTCATTTATGGCTACATTTGTATTATTCATTAAAACCTTTCCTGTCTTCAAAATTGCATCATTACATAGCTAACACTCGGGGTTCAGGATTGGCACAAAGATTATTAAATCCTGTTATTTTGGGGCTCGGGGGAGAAAGATAGAAAGCATCACATAGGGGAAAGGGGACAAATGATGCCATTGCATAATTCGCACAATACCCCTGGTACGTATTGGGGGGTGGGGATGGGGAGATGGCAGCAGACAAGAGTCAGAAAGAAGTTACCCAAGAAAGAGTTGCCTATTGCTCTTTAGGGTTTACACTTAGTAAGATGAAAGCACTCCTATTCCCACCACCCATTCTGTTCGTGGCACGACAAAACCGCGGTCCACTAAAGCGCACCCAATTAAAGCGTGTACGTGATGTCATCAGCAGCGCGACAAATACGACCGCGGAGAAAAAAGGGCGCTTTAAAAAGCGCTTTTAAAGCAAGCCGATTCACATAAAGGTAAGGGTTAGGTTTAGGGTTAGGTTAAGGGTTAGGGTTAGGGTTACGTTAAGCGTTAGGGTTAGGTTAAGGGTTAGCGTTAGGTTTAGGGTTAGGTTAAGGTTTAGGTTTAGGTTTAGGGTTAGGTTAAGGGTTAGGCTTAGGCTTAGGTTTGGGGGGGGTTAGGTTTAGATTTACGTGTTAATTTTAAGTTTACCGCTCACAGCATGCTGTTTTCGTCGTGCTGTGATGACGTCACGTACGCGCTTTCGTCGAGCGCGCTTTAGTCTACCGCGGTTTTGTGGTGGAACCATTCTGTTTACAGTAGAACTTAAGTTTTACTTTCATTCAATTGGCAGAGAAAAGCATTCGCCGCCCTACTTAAGGACAATAGAATACCTTGGATGGGCACACAAAATAACATCTGATTAACCCCCCTTCTGTTCCCATCATCTCCACTCAGTCCTCCTCCATTATTTTACCAAAGGGAAGAACCAGTTTGGCGTCTGAAAAGTAGTTATTCTAACAACAAAATAGTTACAAATGGAGGGACACACGGGTAGTGGAGAAAAAAATCAACATTGACCCAGCAGTAGAGGAGGTTCATGTAAGCATGGAAGCTGCTACAATGTTATTTTGATAAGGTTAAATTGTAAAAACAAGACTAAGCTTTTATATCTAAATCGTAGAAGGGCATTATTATAACTGATTATAAAGGTCCTGAGAAATATTGTTGATTTACAATAAAAATTATTAATATAGCTTGTTTTGGGGATATGCCATTGATAATTATATCACACAGAGGAAGACAGATCATGGAAGTAGTTGTACACCTACAGAAACATAATAAGAGACTCAACATCACACCCAGTATAAGTAAATCAAGGACTCAAAAGTCAATCACGCAATCAAGGGCTTTTTTTTAAAGCAAGAAAAAGCCAAAAGAGAGAGGTAAGAATAAATTTCTACCATATCGGATGCTCTTCAGCAGTTTTAAGTCTCATATTGCAGCAGTAGATAAAGCTAAGAGTAAATAGCATCTATGGAGAAGAAAACCATCCTACTTTATCTACTTGCAAACTAAAGCAGTTAAATAAAGTGATACAAAAAAATTACATGCCAACACACAATTAAGCTTCGATTTTTCAAATAACTGAATACAAATTTTCCAGCTAATATGTTGGTATAGTGGTCTGTTCCTGACTGCAAAAAAAATATGTTATGGCATCATAACGCAAACTCTCATATATGTATCACATCACACAAATATGTAAGAGGCAGCATTTCTGATTGCATCTTTTGTCATTCCCCTCCCCCCCACACACAAATGATAAAGAGCTGAGGAAATGAAGTTAAGGGGCTCACTCCAAACAAGACACTCCTTTCTCCCAACAATATTTCTAACCATTTCTCTTTCCACAAGAATTCCAAGCAGATAAATCAATGACATTGTTGAGAGACAATTTTGATGTGTACTCAAGACTGAATCAGTTTAATATTTGTTTTGCACTTTCCAGTTTCACAACTTTTGCATTTTCTAATACAAAGCAATAGTTGACATAACACAAAATACTGGTTTTGAAAGTAATTTTTAAAAGACAGAAAACACAAATAACGGAACCCTTGTTTTCCAGTTCTCAGCCATTCTTTGCATTTCAAGGATTCCTTCCCTTCTATAATGCAATCAGTGTTCATTCTCACAGAAAGGAAGAGCCTGCCTGGCCCTGTGCCAGAAAAAATGAGATAGCTATTTAAATCCAAGAGGTCTTTTTCCCCCCTGGGTCTGTAATGTAACAGGCAAGACAGACATAGATGGCTAAAGGTTGTTTTTTTAAGTATCACTAATGAGACTGTATAGTCACCAGCAACTGACTGCACAAACCATATTCCTTATTCTGTTATTAAAGCATCTCAGCCTCCACTGGTCTAGATATCCTTAGTTGAATCCAGAGCAAGACAATAGTTCATCCACAGATTTACATCCCACATGATGATTCGAACACATGCTACTTAATTGCACATACACAGCTGACCATATACATGATTACAGATTCTACTTGCTCAATATCCTAGACTGCTGCATGCACATGGCTCTATAAACTTTTCATCTAAGCAAGCAAGTTTTGGCTCTGTACCACAGCTACTAGGCATTACAGGACAGGCTAGGCCAACCTCCATGCTCATACGTTATCCAAACACCTATTTAGCAAACCACCAACACTAACTAGATATTTTACTTTTGTATAAATTATTATTTTTCCTAAAAACCCAACCTCCAAACATTAAGCTACTGAGGATTACAGTTAGATGGATGCCATACTTGCACTCTATTTTAAGCATTAGAAGCAAAATTCCAAACCCCAAAAAAACCACTGTGTATAGAATAAAGTGCAAACTAGGATACAAATACTAGAGTTCAATCATTACAGGTGACATTACAAGAGAATTGATAATGGAAGGAGGAAACACAACAAAACTGCTTCCTGTTTCAAGAAAACAATAAACATATATCATTGAAAACCACAAAAGCAGTCACACTGAAATACTTTCATTTTAGTTGCAGTGACATCAAATGGACAAAAATAGACCTAAATGCAAAGATTCTTGCTTAGGATGAGTTTCCAGATAAACTGGAAGCTGGAACTGTTAAGCACATTCAGATCTGAATATATCACATCAAATTTAGAGACAAACAGCAACTCCTTTCCCATTCTTTCCTCTCTTATTTGAAAGAGAAAAATCTTCCCTATGGGGTGGCACTCCTATTCCACTTTTGCCTCTGGAACATATTAGGTGTTATAAGAGCTGCTTGATGGGAATAAAGAAAAGATGTGTACATATCCTAGGAATTCATAGAAAATCTTTGCCTCTCAGTCAAGATTATTTACTCATAAAGATTTTGTTGCAACACAGAAACCAAAACTCAACAAAGAAACAGGAATGGAGTGCTGGTACAACTACACAATAGTTCATCATAAAGCAAACACAAGGGAAACATTAACATGTGAAGCTATTCCTTTCTCAGAAAAAAAAGTTATTTTCACATTTAGAAGTTCCGGACCGCTTCCTTCCCTCCCACATTTTCAATTCATAAATACATGATCACATTTAATGGGGATGTGCAACAACATTAGAGAGATCGATCCATCACCATCACTAGGACCCGCAGAGTTTTAAGAGATTAGGTTGAGTGTTGGTGCAATGCAATGGCCAATCCTTCCTTTCTTCTGTATACTCTCAGAGGAGATATAAAATCAGCATTGTCACATAGTGAGGCCTACCATCTAAGCAGTTCCTTGCCTTCCCAATGTTGGCCTGTGCTGCTTTCATGACTTTCCCATCTTCATGACTCCCTTTCCCCCCCCACAGTTTTCCAAGGATCGAAGACCACTGTAGTGTCAAAAAAATCCCTAATCATTCTGCCCCCCCCCCTACTCCTCTTCTCCAGAAGAATCAAAGCGATTTAAGGGAGCAAAATAAAGGGGTGGAAACCACTGGGATGTTAGGCTCAATCGTCCCAGAGAAAAGGGGCGGAGGGGAAAAAAAATCTATTTGCAGAGCGCTAGATGGCAGCCAGGCCCGAAGCACGTGCCCTTTTCGGGGACACGAAAAAACGACGACCGCTCTTTCCCACGTTCAAGTCTCCGGGATTGAAAAGGAGCAGAGGAGACTGAGCGCTGGACCTGGGAGAGGAAGCGCACGAGGATACTAGCGGTCGTAGCACCAGCAGCACCGAGACGTGGGGCGGGGAGAGAGGGAGGGAGGAAGGCAAAGAGGGCCAGGATCAGATTAGCAAGAAAAGGGCGAGCGGAGACAGCTCAGCGCCGGCTGCACCGGGACAGACGATGCGGTAAAGAAATCATCTGCCCGGTACTGAGCTGCACCAAGTGACGCGGAAGGAAGGAAGGGGAAAATGCCCGGTGGCCGCTGCACCAGATCCTGTGGGTGGGGCGCAAGGAAATGAAACGGGCGAGCGCTTTCCTTTAGCCAGGCAACCGGCTTCATTTCTTGGAGCTCTGGGTCTTCTTGGGTAGCAGCACGGCCTGGATGTTGGGCAGAACCCCACCCTGGGCGATCGTCACCCCGCCCAGCAGCTTGTTGAGCTCCTCGTCGTTGCGAATGGCCAGCTGCAAGTGCCGGGGGATGATCCTGGTCTTTTTGTTGTCCCGCGCAGCGTTGCCGGCCAGTTCCAGGATCTCCGCCGAGAGATACTCGAGCACGGCCGCTAAATAAACAGGCGCTCCGGCACCCACACGCTCCGCGTAGTTGCCCTTCCGCAGCAGCCGATGCACTCGCCCGACGGGGAACTGGAGGCCGGCTCGAGAGGAGCGAGACTTGGCTTTGGCTCGGGCTTTACCTCCGGATTTACCTCGACCGGACATAACGAAGCGAGGCTGGGCGCTCGAGGAGAGCTAAGGCGCCGAGACCTCGGTTGCAAAGCAGGCAGGCAGGCAGGCAGGAACGGCCTCGTCTGGATAAACGGGAGAGAAATAACACCCGCGTAAGCAAAGCGGCGGCGGGGAGGGGGCGACTAGGAGAGCGGCAGAACGCTGACGCCGTGCATTCCACATTCCTCCCCCACCTCAACCCGATCTAATGACCCGATCCAGTAGCTCTCCTTGGGATTCCCACCCCCCTCCCCTTACCGTTGGTTACTAACCACGGGCGCCCCCGAATAGCCGCAGCTGCAATGACAACAAGCGCGAGAAGCTGAAGGATATAAATCCAAGCGCATCCTCTTGCTGGCTTCCCATTGGCGGCGGAGAGAGCGGAGCCGCGCTCCTATTGGCGGGCATTCCGATCTCTGATTTGCATAGTAGCTCGCGTCCTCCATATTCGGTCTCGGCTGAGAACTAGGGCAGCAGTAAAGCGAGAGACCTGCATGCCTGCAAAAGGATGAAGTATTAATAAAGGGGAATATTTTTCAGCTGAGGGTTGACACGAGGGGCCCTTGGGGCTCTCTGAGCTTGCTTGTTTTTTTGCAGATGTTTTATTCCTTAAACTAGGTAGCGTCATCAGTGCTAGTAAGGAGTGCTGTTTGCTGTCAGTTTATATTCTGGTGCCTTGCCCTGCCAAGTGTT